TGCTCAAACTGAAGGGACACAGAACATCCACAGGAATGCTAAGCAAAGGACGTCAGTGGTGGTTATGCATATATTAGACCTAAGAAGCTTTAGCTCAAAACTCTATCACCAGACATCAAGAATCAAAGACAAGTGTTATTATTTTGCCACAGTATAAATACACATGCACCCGACATGAGAAAAATCTATCAATATAAAGCAAATATTGGCAGAAATGAATGGAGAAATGATTTTTTACATATACTAAATCCAGCAGACAGGACAGCAGTGAAAATTAATGAAACATCTTTGCTACTCACAGACAGACAACAACACAGGGCAAATGACTGGAATTTGTGGCAAACACATTGTCCAGGGCTCAGGAAGGCTATACATGAAGAATGGACTCTAATCTCTATATCCTCCACACAGCACTGCAGTTGATGAGTGCAGGGGAGCAGCCAACTTGCGTCTATACCCTTGATAGAGGAGATGAAACAGTCAAACATAGTAGGACAATGTATTCCAAGAAGGATAGGAATGGACTCAAAACTTCCCTGGCCAGAACATGTACATGCTGAGTCAAAAGTCATTGATAAGAAACATAAGCAATAAATAAATAAATAAATAAATAAATAAATAAATAAATAAATAAAATCTAGAACTCCTTTAAAATACCTTTCTGATTACAATAAAATAAAGTTAAAAATAGAAAAATTGTAGAAGGAAAAGTGGGAGGTTTGCCAGTGTGGAGTTGAGCAATGTGCTTCTGCAACACCAGTGGGTCAAAGATGAAATTAAAAGGAAAATTGCAAAACATCTTGAAACAAACAGAACATATCAAAACATACTAGACTCAGCAGAGACAGAGACAGCATTAAAAGTTTATAGTGACAAATATTTACATTATAATAGGAGAGAGATCTCGAATAGATAACCAACTTCATATTTTAAAATAAAATGAACAAATCAAGCCAAAATTCGGGATGCGAATATATATATATATTAACAGAATGAGTTTTATTTTTTCTGGAGAAGCAAATGAAACTAACAAACCTTCATGAATAGTTAATGACAAAACAAGAGAAAACACACATCAACTAAAATGTTGAGAGAAATGAAAATGGAGATACAGCAATTGGTGCCACAGAGACAAAGCTCATTGTATAAAAATTCTATGAAAAAGTATGCACTAGCAAATTGAAGGTTCTAGAAATAGTTTACCATGGCTGCATCATAGTGAAATATAAAATCGTAGCATATGTATGACTCATGAGAAGACTGTACCTAAAGTTTTTTAAAAAGCTTCAATGAAGAGACGTCATGGGCTTCACTGGTTAATTCTATCAAATTTTCAATTGATGCCAACAATTCATAAACTCTTGCCAAAATCTGAAGGGAAAACATACCTCTAAACTTATTTTACAACCTCAGCATCATCTTAACACCTGAGTCAAAGACATTACAAGCAAAGAAAAACCATTATGCAAGTGCTCCACATGAACCTTGATACAAACTTTCAATAAAATGCTAGAAAATGAAGCCACACGGCAAATTTAAAAGACCATGGACCATGAACAAACAAATTTTTCCTTTATGCCTACAGGTAAGTGTAATTTTTACTCTGCATCAGGTAAACCTCTCTTTGCAACAGAAAAAGACCATTCTAGAAAACTATAACCAATCAAAATGCAGCGGTGTGGAGCACAGTCCTAAGAGATACATCTGCAGTAATACTCATTAACTTAAAGCTCAGGGAACACTGCAGAAGACGGGCAGAAAAAAAAAGTATAAGAGCCAGAGGCTAGGGAAGTTTGCTGCATGATCGTGTCTACTAGAAATCTCGGAAGCTACACCCATCAAGTCTTACCAAAATGTCAGCCTAACATGACCTGACCAAGGTTAAGATCAGCAAACATGCTAACACGGAAGGGGGAAAGTTCATGAGGCTTCAACTCCAAAACAAAGAGAAAGGAAGCTAGGCTTCTCCAGGGGAGAGCACAAGAAATGGTTATCTAGTACCAAATGGTCAGCCCTGAAACATTTATGCAAATAACTTTGTACAGTATGAGCAGGTTATACTTAAGTATTTAGTAACATGTATGTGTGTGCATGTGAGTATGTTACACACATATACATATAACAACAGTTAAAGAAAAGCCACAACTTTAAAAGAGATGAGAGAATACGTGCGAAGGGCGAGAGAGATAAAACCGAAACGGAAAATGATGTACTTGTATTATAATCTCGAATAATAAATTAAGCTTGAAGATGAATATCATACAAAGAAATGAAACTTGATTCCTTCCTCACATTATTCACAATAGTATATTCAAAATGGGTTTTGGATTCAGGTAAGACCTGAAACTTTAAAGTTTGTGGAAGAGATCATAAAGGAAAACTTCTTGATGGCTATGACACCAAAAGTGAAGGGTCAAATGGAAGTTCTGGTCAGCCAAGGAATCAGCAGAGCCAAAGGCAGACTATAGGACATGAGGAAATGTCTCCAAACCGTATTACAGTAAGTTATTGATATCTAAAATACATAGGAAACTCTTAAACTAATCAACAACTTAATATTCAAAATTGTACTATGGAATTAAATAGGTATTTTTACTAAAGAAGACTTACAAATGCTCAACACACACACACACACTCATACACACACACACACACAGAGAGAGAGAGAGAGAGAGAGAGAGAGAGAGAGAGAGAGAGAGAGATGTTTAATATCATGGATCATCAGAGAAATGCAAATCTAAGCCAAGGTAAGAGATAAGAGATCTTACCGTTCTTACTATTCTTAACAAAAACAAGGGAGAAAGAAATTATGTGATGAGCTTGGAACCTTGTAACATGTTGGTGAGAGTGTAATCTCCCAGGCTGCTATGGAAAGGAGTGAAGTTTCCTCACACAAAATTAAAGTGAGAAATCTCATGAACCCACAAGACAATGAGACTTCTGGATGTTAATCCTAAAGAGTGAAAATTGAGAAGTCAAAGAGATATTTGAGCGCCATGTCCATTGTAGCCTTTTTCACAAGAGTCAAGTGTAGATATAGCCCAAGTGTCTATTGATGGCTGAGTGAATTAAGAAAAGGTAGCATTTACAATGAAACAACAGCCATCTGTGTAAAACAAGGAAACCCTGGAATACATGTCAATCTGAATTCACCTGAAGAACACCATTCTAAACTAAACAGGATATTCACAATGGATTAGTCCTGAATGGTTCCACTTCTCTATGCTATTGAAATCAGCAAAACTCACAGAAGCCGACAATAGAGTCATGGTTGCCTGCATCTGAGGAGAAGGATACGGAGACCTGCTAAACCATAGGCATAAAGCTAATTGAGTACAATGAATAAATTGAAAATATCTGTAACATAACTTTGACCTTTTAATAACAACTGCATAATACACCTTAAAATTTGTTCAAAAAGTGGAACTGTTAAATGTACTTACTGTTACATTAAAATTAGAAGAAAAATCATTAGGATTATGGCAAGGAAGATTATTGAACATTGCCGATCATTATGAAATAATTTCCCAGGGATAATGTGGAAAATGCCATCATTTATAATATTTGAAACTAAATTGAAGAAAAACATTCAACTACATGCAGTTGGCCTTGTTATCCTAACAAGGGTGACAGGACCAGGCCCCATAAGCATGAGCTAAGACACCAGTGGATTCCTTGGCCTATGAATATCCTGCCACCCACCCACTGCTCTGAAGGATGAAATGGGAAGACTGGGCCAGAATTGGTGACTCACATGAGGGAGACTTGCTCAGCATGTTCCTGGCTCTGTGACAGTGTCCCAGGGGACTAGTCAACCAGTACTCACAGACGTGACCATGCTTCCAGCTCAGTGAACCTCCCAGGGAATACACCAGGCCCTTCTCCACTATACCCAAATATTTAAAGTGATCTGTAGGATTTTTCTCCTAAAATTAGAAATAAGTGATGTAGGAGTCTATATCACATAAATCTCTGTAGAACCCAAAGCAACTTAGATCAGCCAACAATAGCAAGTGGTGGTCCAAGGACCCAGTCTGGTGCACAGCTTGTTACTCAAGCCTTTGAGAATATTAAATCAAGCATCTCCAAGATAAAATATGGAGATATTATTTTCCTCTTCCCCCTCTTTAGGGTCTGGATTAGACAAAGAAGAAAAGGATGGATATGTCAAGAGTTCATGAATCCAAGCCAACATATCACATAATGGAGTGTGGTGGACAACATGTCTGTGACAACAGGTGAAATGGTTAATCTCAGTTGTTGATTCCACAGAACACCAAATCACCTAGGAAACACACCCCTGGGCATGTCTACGAGGATTTTTTCACAGAGATTTAACTAAAGGGGAAAGACCCATCCTGAATGTGTGTGACAGCATTGGTCCAGCTAGTGTGCCTGAGTATACATAAAGGGGAGAGCTAGGGGACTCCAGGGTTCACCTTTCAATGCTTCCTGACTGTGTATATGATGTGACCAGCTGCCTCAGACTCCAGGGATCACAGCTTTAGCCATCCTCCATTGTACCTTCAAACTGTGAACCAAAATAAATCTGTACTCCTTAGAGTTGCTTTTATCAGTATTTTGTCAAAGCAGCCAGAAAAGTAACTAAGATCCTCAGTCTATGGCAGCTAAACATGGAGCCACAGAGATCAGGGAGAGGGGAGTTCAAATCACTGAGTTTCTGTTTACAGGCTGTGTGACCTTTTGAGAGGTAACCTTAGGGGAGTTTTGTAATCTGCTTAAAACTACATCAAATCTTTCTTATAGTATTATTTAAATAAATAAATATAATAAATTATTTTTAAATTTTTGTCTCACTTAGATAACTCTTACAAGTAATGAATAAATTACTTCATGCAAGTTATTTAATACAGTACCTAGTATAGTATTATATGCACATAGAACATCCTAGTATAATAAATATTATTTAAAAAAAAGATTAAGCCTTGGTGGGGGAGGGGGTCAAGTTTTCAAGGCTAACTATGAAGCATAAACATTACCAGTGCAGTTTTCTCCAGGAGCTCCACAAAGAGAGCCATTGGTTTCAGGTGTACTGGTTGTGTTCCCATCTGCTACCACACAGTGGAGAATCGCAAGACCTGCAGATTCAAAACAGAACCAGAAAACAAACTTGAAACTTCGCTTAATGTAAAGTATCCCTTAAATGTCATGGCCCACTGTGGAAAGAAGTAAGCCTGTGGCTTCCATTGCACGCTGTCTTCTCCCAACTAAGAAGAGGATCACAGAGTACCATGTCTTGCTCAGCTCAGTGTAAAGACAGAATTTTCAAGTCAATACTACTTCCTGTACTTACACATCTGTAGACAAAGTGGAGGATCATTACAAAAGCAGAGAGTAGAGGAATGGGAGCACAGTCACCAGATAGATATGAAGATGCAGAGAGAATAATTAATGAACCCCCCTGGCAAAGGAGCTAGTACATTCCCCATAGCCACAATGCTCTGATATTTCTCAGAGGTTAACTTTCCAGTATACTTCCATTGTGGGGATGGCAAATTGATATAAATCCATGGGGAATTTTGTTGGTGTTATTAAACAGAGGTTTCATGCATACTAGGCAAGCCCTCCACCATGAACCCATACTCTCATCTCACCATGATGGTTCTTTAAGAATTCTAGGTCCCTTAACTTAATAATCTCTAAAGAGAAGTATGTTGTGGTTGGAATGGTGAGAAAAACAATAGCTGGTACTTGTGTTAATCCTGATTCAAGTATGAGTAGTCATATACAAGTCAATCAAGGAAACTAGCACTGTCTGGGTATTAGATACTACTAAAGAACTGCTGTAAAGTTGTCAAAATGCAGTAATAGCATTGTGTTTTATATTAAGAATTAACATAACATAAGTATGTTTAAACATTCATTAATGAAAAAAGGTAAGTGAAATTCACATTATTATTATTATTAGTGGTGGTGGTGGTAGTAATAGAGTAGTGGTATTATTATATTTATTAATAAATATTAATAATATTTATTATTATATTTACTAGTAGTAGTAGTAGTATTTTTGATATTGACAATCAATCCTATGGCCTTTGGAAAGCTGGGAAAGTATTCTATTACTGAGCCAAACTAGCCTTGAGTCTCATTTTAAAATAACCTATTACGGAAATTCGGCACAAGAGGAGGAAAGAAAGGCAAAGATGAAGTAAAACATGACACATGTTGACAGTTGTTGAAGCTGAATGTTGGATGGGTCAGAGTTTATTATGCCAGTCTTTCTGGTTCACATGTGTCAGAAATGATGAAAGGGAAACTGAATAGGAGAGGGTAGGCAAGACAAGAAGAGGACCAGAAATATAGCTTGGGGATTGGCTGCTCCTTAGTTCAAGACCTTGTTGACAGTGTTAAGAACACAAAATATGTGTTAAGGATACAGATCACTAAATGTGCCCTGGCATATACTCAGTGCTCAGTAAATTGCTTCATTATCATGCAGCTGATAGGAATAATAGGCATTGTACATCTGGCCAACAGTTTCTAAGCAACATGTTCTTCAATTCCATTCAATTCAACAAACAAACATGAGCCTTTGGAAATATCCTGATGGATAGGATACTCTTGACCCTCAAGATGCTCTGAAGCTGCATGGCAGATAATGAGCCAACCAATTAACCATGACACAATAGCATGCCAGGAAACAATGTCTAGCAAATCATAATGTCAAGACTTTCCAACAACACTCTTTATAATGGCAGCTTTGCTATTTATCAAATTGGAAAACATTGTTTTAAAGAAAAAGAAAGTACCAAATGTTGGAGAAATTGAACAGAAAATGGAGACTCAAATCTGTTGGTGATGGGCAAATTTACCTTTGTTTTCTAGAGAGCAATTTAACACAACCCATAAAAACAGAAGTAACTAAACAGTGAAATTCCTTATGCCTAGTGGTTACAAACTAGTAAGGTCTCCTATGAAAATAGCACAGGATATATACAGAATGAATTATCTACAAAAGTCTCTGTGTGACATACATTAGAAAACATTACAAGTTATTTAAATGGGAAGCTGGGGAGATGGTTCAGTGGATAAGAGTTCTTGCTAGGCAAATGAAACCATAAAATCCCAGGCCACCAGCCCAACTTCAGGTTCTGTCAGGGAATAAGAAGTTGAATGATTGAGTGATAGAGTTGGATACCCAATGTCATCATCCAGCTTCTATGAAGTTGTACCACACCACACACACACACACCTAAGTATATAGCAATACAGAATTAATTAAGTGTATTTGACCTACCTTTCTGCAATAAGATGCTAATCAGTCATGAAAATGGTGTTAAAAATTAATAGTACACTTCAGTATATTTCCAAATAATAAAACAGACTGTTGAATGATAATTTATGGCAACGGAGGCAGTGGTGGTGCTGCTGGTGTGTGTATGTGTGTGTGTGTGTGTGCGCGCGCGTGCGTGTGCACATATGCATATATAGTACATTTCTTTGTTTATCTAAATAGCCAAAAAGGTGAGTAAACAGGAAATTGATCCAGCTAGTTGGAAAACCTTTTCTTTAATTTTATCTTTATTTTTCATTTTTTTTCTGAAAGAACATTTTGTTTGTTGCAACAGGAGAAAAATGAGTGAATCTTCTTTTTAAAATCATGACTTGGTCACCAAATTTCTGTTATTTACACTTTTCCCTCCAGCACTTACTCCTCCCTTCCTAGAACAACCTGAAGCAAACACGTGTGGGCCCCTCAAGCCCAGGAACTATAGACAACTCATCTTTGTAATCTCAGTACCTAACACAAAGTATGATATATAAAGAGTTAGTAAATGAACAGTCAGTTTTAAAATGTTTTCAAATCCAAAAAACCCCAGCAGCAGATTCTACTGAGAAACACATTTAACTCATTTCTAAATTCCAATTCAAGAGCTGGTATTTCCCCGGGACAAAACGAGGAGGCCTTAACCCCGTAGTTCATTTACTCTGATAGTTAAAAAAAAAAGAAAAGCAAACCAAGAGAAGGAAGAAGAGTAAGGAGAGAACAGTCTGAGAAGATGGCTCAGTCAGGGAAGAGCCAGCCACACAGCTATGAGGACTGGAGTTCTAATCCCCTGGCACCCATGTACAACTTCAGCATTGTAGTGTGCACTTGAAACTCTGGTGCTGGGAAAGAACAAAGAGACAGGCACCCACAGAGCTTGCTGCTCAGCCAGTCTAGCCAATTGGTGACCTCTAGTCTCAGCGGAAAGCACTGTCTCAAAGGTAAGATGGACAGCAACAGAGGAAGATACCCAACATCAATCTTCAGCCTCCATGTCCACTCGAATATGCACACACACATATGTGTACATGTAATTATTGTAAAGAAATGAAAGAAAGAAGAAGAGGGAAGGAGGGAGGGAAAGAGGGGAGGGAGGGATTGATGGAAGGAGGTCAGTCTAAATCTAGTAGAGATTCAATATCTAAACTGAAAGGAGAAATGTTTACTTCTCAGGATTTTTATAAAGGTTAAAATTTATAAGAAAATAATTGGCTTAAAATACTTCACAATATTTATCTAGCTGCCTTTATTCCTAGAATTACTTATAATTCAACCCATTAGTCTCCTCTTCTATCTAATGGAGGAAACATTGATTGCATTGAGACTGCCCAATTATTCAGACACTTAATCAGGCTAAGTTCTATGGCCAGGCTCCTTCTGCTAATCCCCACTCCACATTCTGGAAGCAGTTGACAAAAAAGCCACCAGCCTCAGAGGAGACAGGACCAACAAAGGAGATCTCTTCCAACAAGCCAGCATCCCATGTAAGAAGAGTGTGAAAATAAGCCAGTGTCCTGTGTAAGAGTGTGCAGACAAGCCAGCATCTTGTGTAATAAGTGTGTACCAAACAGCGTGCTCTCTACCTCTACTGCTATGCAAATCGTCTTCAGTAAAGAACCAGGGACCATGAACCCATTTGAAAGAGAAGCATTTCCTTAGCCTGAACAGATCCCAACAATTGAGAGAAGGCAGTTCCTTTCAAATTGAACTTAGTCCTTCCATCTTTTATTATTATTATTAATTATTCTTTAATCTTTTTTTACAGTCCAGCCGTTATCCCTCTCCCAGTCTGCCCTCCAACTGTTCCTTATCCCATTCCTCCTTCCTCATCTTCAAGAGGATGTCCCAAACCCCGACCCCCACCCCCCACTTTACCAGACCTCCCCACTCCCTGGGCCCTCAAGTCTCTCAAAGGTTAGGTGCATCTTCTCTGACTGAGTCCAGACCAGGCATAGAACCTTCTTCCAGGACCTAGTGGGAATGAAGAAACAGGAAGCCTTTAAGTACCACAGACCCCATGACAATTGCTGTGCTCATTTTAGGTCATCACAGGACTTTGGGTTTATGATCTGTAAGAAGAGGCTGAGAAATCAGCGGAGCATTCACAAAACCCATTACCAAATACTATAGGCTACTTTACAAAGAACACTCTTGTTCCATCCATTAGTCAACAAATATTCATTAAGCACTTGTGCTTGGTACTGATGCAAAACACTGACGGCTCAAAGATAAAAATATCACAGCTAACCTCACAGATCTCATATTCTGCTTTTGAAAGATGCACATGTCACCAAGGTGCTGTACAATTAGCAGCATGAGAGATGTCCAAAAGAGAATCAACTCTGCTTCGGGGCAGAGCTTTCCTGTAGGAGCCAAGGTTTACGATGAGTTTTTAGTGGGGAATAAATGACTTTTAACGTGTCAATTAATTACTTGCTAAAAATAGGTGCAAGCAAAATAATCACTTTGTTTCCCTGTTGCTGCAGTGGTTAGCATTCATGTGGTCATCATAATGCAAATATCGATCATTTCTCACAAAAGCTATCATAAAATTAGAGGCAATAATTAGCCAGCCTCCACTATGTAGGTCACATGATAGTGGTTAGTCAGTTCCTAACACTTTAATTATCTGCTGTCAGGGTTGTCATACTGGCAAATAGAACATTATCTTGAAGAAAAGAAGGAGAAGAAGAAGAAGAAGAAGAAGAAGAAGAAGGAGAAGGAGAAGGAGAAGGAGAAGGAGAAGGAGAAGGAGAAGGAGAAGGAGAAGGAGAAGGAGAAGGAGAAGAGGAGGAGGAGGAGGTGGAGGAG